TATTTACACTGCATGTATCTTGTCTTTACACGGCTGTTTGCATGTTGTCTCATCCATCAGACTGTGAGCACGTCTTCCAGTGCAGAGACTGAGTTTTTATCCCCAGTGTGCCCAGCACAGTGCCTGGCACATAGGAAGTGCTCCATAAATGCTTCTGGACCGACTGACTGACTGAGGGAAATACAAGAGGTATTTTTGATCCTCTGATAAGGAAAGTGAGGTTCCTGGAGTGGCCGAAGCCTACGTCTGTGGGCCCCCTCCCTCACCATGTGCCAGGTCCCACCCAGGCCCAAGCCTCCCTTCTCCAGCAGCTGCTGAGCAGACCAGGCCCCCTCTCTCTGCTTTCCATCTGCCATATTTTTCTTTCCCACCAAAATAGATGTTTAGGGATGGGAGATGAAATTAGTCCATTTCTTAGAGGAAATGTGCTGGAAGTTGACTGTGGAAAGGAGCTGTGAAGGTATTATGTAGGCCTTTGACCTGACAATAGCTTTTGAGGAAGACACCAAAGAATCTAGAAATTCAAGCTCTAATCATCCAACCTCATTGTTTCTACCTCTACAACATTTCTCTTATGTCTCCCCTTATCTTCTCTTATTAGGTCATCACCCTATGTATCAGGCCTCCTCACTTCTCACCTGGACTATTTCAATAGCCTTGTAATTGATCTCCCTGTTTCTTATCTCTCCCCATTCCAATCCATCCTCCATACAGCTGGTAAAATGGTTTCCTAAAGCATATGTCTGATTATGTCATCCCCACTCAGTAAATTCCAACGGCTCCCTATAATCTTAGAGTTCTTTATAACCCAACCCCTTTCTACCTTTCCAGGCTTCCTATACATTATTCCCCTCTACGAACCTTAAGCTTCAGTCATATTGGCTTACTTGCTGTTCCTCAAACCCTATGCTTCACCTCCAGACTTCACACCTTTGCCCAGGCTGTCCCCCCTACCTGGAATGCCCTCCCTTCTCATCTCTTCCTCTTGGAATCCCTGGCTTCCTTCAAGACCCAACTCAAATACCACCTTCTCTAGGAGGCCTCTAGTGGTCCTACCAGCTGCTAGTTAGTGTTTCCCCCTCTAAGGTACCTTCATCCACTTTGTTTGTATCTAGTATATCCCTATTTCTGTACATGTTGTCCTCACTCACTAGACTGCAAGCTCCTTGAGGGTAGGAGCTATTTTTGCTTTTGTTTTGTATCCCCAGCATTTGCACAGTACCTAGCACAAGGTGATCATTCAATGAAGGCTTGATTGGCGAGGTATGAGCTGCAAACCCACAAGGATACAAGGGATTTAAGAGTAGAGGATAGTAGAGTTGAACTGGTTCACTAAAGGGTTGAGTGTAGGAAAGGAGAAGAGTATAGCCAGGATAGAGGTAATGGCCTAGGAAAGAAAAGGGATGGAGAGACTGGACCAGGTTATGATAGGGATAGGGAATAGGTTTAGGAAGAATAACGCATAAGGAGCTATGAAATGACAGGTGAATATAATCAAATAGAGTTCTAGATCACAGAAGTCTAATACTATCAACACTCAGAACCTACACCACGGGTGGGGAACCTGTGGCCTGGAGGCCACATGTGGACCTCTAAGTCCTTAAGTGAGGCCCTTTGACTGACTCTGAATTTTTGGCCACATTTGAGGACCTAGAGGGCCACACAGGTTCCCCACCCCAACCTGTACTTTCTCTCTTCTCATTCCCTTCTAAATTCTTTGCAATTTGGCTTTCAACCTCATCACTCAACTGAAACTGCTCTCTTCAAAGTTACTAATGATCTCTTGTCAAATCTCAAGGCCTTTTCTCAATCCTTATCCTCCTTGCTGTCTCTGTAGCATTTGACACTATTGACCATTGTCCTCTCTGGATTTTTGTGACATTGTTTTATCTTGGTTTCTTCTACCTGTCTAACCACTCCTTCTCTATTTCCTAGACTAGATCATCATCCAATCAATCAATCAACATTTATTAAGTCCCTACTATGTGCCAGGCACTGTGCTAAGTGCCAAAGATACAAAAAGAGGCAAAAGACAGTCCTTGCCCTCAAGGAGCCTACAATCTAATGGAGAAGACAACATTCAAACAAATATATGCAATGCAAGTAATATGCAGGATAATTAACAAAAGGAAGGCACTAGAATTAAAACACTAGATTTACACTAACTTTAGTTATATGCTATGGTGGGTCCTCTTCTCTTTTCCCTCTATGCTCTTACTTAGTGATCTTCTCAGCACCCTTGGGTTCAGGTATCATCTCTTTGCGGGTATGAATATGTGGGGGCAATGGTAAGATCAAAGTGTAACTGACTGGAACATGTAAGTAGGTGATGAGATTTGAGTTGAATGAGAAACTGGAAGATTGGGGATCTTGAGGGATCTTCAGCCTGTATGAAAGAGCCTCGAATCAGAGCAGAAATTAAAACAGAATGCCAAGACTATGAGGCAGGGATGTAACTAACTGAGAAGGGAGGCCTGGGATAAAGGCACCAGTATCTGGATTGCGTGAAAATTTGACACATGGAAAGAAACTCAAATGAGAAGAGGTTGCCGAAGGTTGAAGGCAGAGGGAGACTTTGGAAGCAGAAAGGGGAAGTAAGAAATATTCTGAGAAAGTCACAGTGCAACAGAGGCACAGTTTTGAGACGGTGGAAAGAACTCCTCTGGTGGCAGAGGACCTGGGTTCAAATCTCACTTTGGATGCTTAATACCTGTATCAATCTGGGCGGGTCACAACTCCTCTGGGCCTCAGTTTCCTCATCTGTAACATCCGGGTGGTACATTGGATGACCTCTACACTCCCTTCTACTTCTATAATTCTATAATAAAGAGGAGAATGGAAGGAAATTAGTTTCCCTCAGATCATTGTCTCAGGAGGCCCAGGCCAGGAAGTGATATAAACACTGAAGGGAGAGATTTGTAGGTTCCAAGGGTTTGGGATGTTTCTGTCCAGCCCAGTTCCCACCCTTCCCAGCAGACAGACAGTGGCAGAAGATGCCAGGGTGTCCAGAAGCCCCACCCAGGTCTCTTTTGTGTCCAAACCAGAGTTGCCCCTCACCCCCTTTCCTTTCCTCTTATGTGGATGAAGACATGGGGTCTGTATGGAAAAACCCCTTGGGAGCTTTAGCTGTGAGTGCAAACTGGGCTTTGCCAAAAGCAACAAGGATCAGTCCAAGGAGTTCATAGGTACGCCTTTAGGGAGTATGTGGACCTGAAACACTGTGGGAGGCAGCCCAGGGCCTCCCAGGGGATAAACTGAGGCCCTCGGTGTGTCTATGAGAAGCACCCTGGGTGAGCCAGCCAAGGATCAGGGCCAAGGCAGGGAGCAGCTTGTATGGGGAAGGGATAATGCTTCCCCCAGAAGTCAGAGCTAAAGGAGCCAGGGCAGGGCTACCCCAGGGGAATTTCGGCTCTTGTCCAGAATCCATAGCAGGGAGTCAGCTACTAAGAACTAGGAACCTTTGAGATGGGAGAGGAAGTTTGGGCCCAAGCACTGTAGGGAACAGAATGTGGGAAGTACCGACCAGACACCGTGGAGCCGGTGGGCAGGGAGGTAGCCCAGTGGAAGGCTGGTGGGAAGAGCGATGGCCGTGGGGACAGGACTTCTCAGTCTGATCCAGCGGCACTGACTGGCACTGCTCTCTTCAGAGTTACTAATGATCTCTTGTCAAATCTCATGGCCTTTTCTCAATCTGTGACCATGGACTCACTCTGAGCCTCAGACTGCTCACCTAGAGAGAGAACATCTGCCCTCCTCACAGGTGTGGTTGAAGGAAGGCTTTGTAAATCTTCAGGTGGGACAGAAAGGGGGCTGTCCTGAGCCAACCTTGGACCCCCTTGACCTTCAGACTGTCCCCGCCCCAGTTGGTGTAGCCCAAGAAGAGCCAAGGCACTAAATAGACCTCTTTTGGGCAGCGTCAAACCTAGCTCCTAAGGGCAGGAAGAGAATTGCAACTACACCTCAAATCCTTTCCTGGTGAGGAGGAAGGGCTTTCTCTGCTCCCCACCTCCAGCTTCTAACCCTAACCCATGGCAGCCACTGAGGTGGGCTTTCTTCTATAAGGGGAAGCATAGCAGGAGAGAGGTCCAGGTTCCTGTTTTTAAAAGGGGAAGTTTCTTGGGGTGGGGATGGGAATTGCTGCCATTATCTAAGACCTTAGGGGGTGAGGGGAACAGTGATCCAGGAGACCTCCATCTTAATACTAGTTCTGCAAGGGGGCCCACATGCTAGATGGAAAGAAAGTGGACCTGGGAATCAAGGAAACCAAGGTTCAGGTCTTGGGCCTACCCCCTCCTAAGTGACCCTCTCAGCCCACATCCCTGCTCTGTCCTCTGTCAGGTGGGGAGTGGATTCTCACCAGGGGTGAAGTCATTTTCCTCCTTTTTGTTTTCCTCACTAGTGAAGGAGGAAAGGTGGCTGGGGCAGGTTAATCATCCCTACTTTGCACCTGGTCTGGGTGGGTCTGGGTGGATTTTAAGAGGACCTGGGACAGGTGGAAGAAGGCTCTGGGTTCAAATCCAGTCTGTACTCCGTAGTGGAGGTGTGCTCATAGGCAAGTCCTTTAACTTAAGGGCCTTCATTTCTCCCATCTGTAAAATGAGGAAATTGGACCTGAATCAGGGGTTTTTAACCTTTTTGTGTTGGGACCGCCTTTGACAGTCTGCTGAAGCCTCTGGGGCCCTTCTCAGAAGAAAGCTTTTAAAACAACTGAAGGAAATGCTCAGTTTCAGTTAGACATGAGTGAAAAGAAAGCTTTATTTCCTATTCAAATTCCCTGGCTGCCTGAATTCTGTCTGTGGACGTGTTGGGAGTCACTGAACCCAGGTTAAGAATCCTGAGATTCTAGGCCTTTCTTGCCTCCAATCCTATGCTCCCATGTGTCTGGAAGCTTTAGGTTGGGCGAGCTGAGATCACAAGTGTGGTGTCACTAAAAGAAGAGGGATATGAAAAGTATCCAGTAGAATTAGTAATTTTTGTTGATGTTTTATTATTGTCAATAACCATAGCCCTGGGCCATGGCCAAAGTTGGGCTCTCCTTCTGGGGACATTCAGCTAGAGGCCATGACTGGAAGCAGAGGGCAGTGGGCTCTGGATCAGCAGTGGGGGTTCCTGTGTTCTATTCTCAGCTTTGACCCTCCCCACTTCTTCGTACTCAGTTTCCTCAGCTGTAAAATGAAGTTGGGTGGAATCATCTCTGAGGTTCCTTCTAACAGTAAATCCTATGCTTCCACACTACCCCCTAATGGTGCTGCCTTCCCTGTCTTCCTCACAGAGATCTCCTTCCCCTCCTGGACACCACCCTCTGAAGTTGGTCAGGTGAGTGGGTATTTGGTAGCAATCTGACACCCTCCATGACCGCCTCCTCCTGTCCCACTATCCCTGTCAGGCTCTGGGACCCCTCATTCCCATCTCTGTTCTTCCTCTCTCCAGAGCTTCCTCAACCAACTGAGATTTATCACCAGCAAACTAAAAAGTGGCTGTGCCCAGGAATCCATCAAGGTAAGAAGACCCTGGATCCCAGGAGAAAGGAGGAACTGGTCCTGTCACTGAGTGATGATGTGACATGGAGGCAGGGTCTATGCTCATCAAATGCTGTTTGCACACCAGGACAAAAGAGCCATGCCCCCTCCCCCACAATACACATAACACATACACACACATACACACACACACACACACACACACACACACACGCACGGTACGGCAATGGGTCATAATGAAAAGTGTTCTGAATTAGGAGTCAGATTCCAGCTTGATCTCCACATCCGTTCCTCTGGGTGCCTTGTGTCAATCACTTCATAAATTTCTGTGAGCTTCAGTTTACTCAAATAGTCTTAAAAAAAAAAAAAGGGAAAGTAGAGCTGGGCCTGATAGTACACACCTGTAGTCCCTGGCACTGGGGAGGTGGAAGCTGGTGGATTGCTTTAGTTCAGGAATCCTGAGTCTCAGAAGGATTATGGGTGATTGGGTGTGCCTACTGGTCTGGCACCAATATGGCACCCATCACCTGGAGAACCAGGCTGCCTAAGGATAAGCAAACCGGTCTAGGTTAGAAAAATGGGGCAGGTTCCATGCTGATCAGCATTGATTGGCTCAGGATCATGAGTGGCCACTGCATGTCCAGCCTGGGTGAGATAGGGAGATCCAATCTTAGGGGGCAGATGACGGAAGGAAGGAAGAGAATTGGAGATGGGGCAGATGCATCTCTTAAGATCCTTCCAACTCTCCACGATTTAGTATAACAAAAAGAATGGGAGATTAGGGCTCAGAAAACCTTAATTCAAACCTTAGCACTGCTATTCATTAGCTATGTGACCTTGGTTTAAGTCACTCCCCTTCTCTGGGCCTCAGTTTCCTCATCTGTAACATGAGGGAGCTGAACTAGATGATCCAATGTTGACACCCCGCATGCACACATACAGCCCTAGTTGTTTTTGCTTATTGCAGATCTGTCCATTGGTGGGTTCTGTAGGCAGAAAAAAATGAGGGAAAGAGGAGGAATTAATTGTCCTTTTGAGGTGAATTTCATGGCTGCCAGAATCTGCCTGTGACAGGACGAGCAAGAGAGCTGGAAGGGAACCCTCTGGCATTACCAGTTTTTTGTTGGCTCTATTGTTTTCCAGGGTGGTGAGGGGCCCCTGAAGGCTGACAGCTCCATTCGTTCTCTTTGCTCTTCTCCCTATCCCAAACCCAGGAGTTCGTGGAGGATATAGAGAAACTTCTGGAGACATCCAGAGACCTGGGTCATCTGCCCGTAGAGACTCGGCTTCAAGTGGCCACATACTTGCTCTCTGGCTCGGAACAAGTCCTGCGAGCCCTCACCCAGACCATGCCCAATGGGACCCTGGTCTTCCATACTGTGGGGGACATAAGCAAGCAAGCAGGTGAGCACGCCCACCCACCCAGCTCCTCCCCACCTCCTTCCAGCTTCTCCCAGCCTCCACATGGTCTTCTTCCTCCTTCCTCAGAACTGTCCGTGAATATTAAGGAAAAACCGACGGGGAGCGTCGAGGTGGGCAGGAGCCATTCAAAGATGAAGCTGGACTGGAATTTGGCCTGGAAGCCTGGTGGCTCAGGTAACAGCAGACAGGACAGAGACACCAGGCAGGCTGGGAAAGAGGCAACCCCACCGGCAAGGACAGGCTGGGGCCAGCGAACTGCTAGGAACAGTGAGAATGGGCCTGAATGATTGGGGTAGAGGAGGAGAGCTAGGCTTAGGTCAGCAGGTGCACAGTCATTCATTCAACACTGACTAAACACTGCGGACCCTGCCGGGAACTGGATGCTATACAAGGTCTACAGGACAGGGTTTTTGCCCTCATGGAGTTTATAGTCTAGCAGGAAGAAAAACCAGCAATCCAGAGGGCTCTATTATACAATAGTGCCTTAGGGAAATGCAAAACGAAATGAATACCATGTGAAGTCTGAGAGGAAAGGTCTTTATGGACCCAGAGGCATGGGGCAGACTCCTTAGAGGAGGTGGCACGGAATTGGACTGTAAAGAAGGGCCAGCAGGTGGGGAAGAGGAGGGAGGGCATTCCAGGTGTAGGAATTGTAGCACTGAGAAAAAGCACACATGTGAGCCAGATCTGAACAAGCTCAGGACACAGGGAATCATTCAGTCTGTTAGGGGTGCAGCAATACAAGAAAGAGAAAAGTAGGTGGCATCCTCTGGTAGAAGCACAACAGTCCTGGGGGGGTGTGGGGGCAGAGGGAAGGCTTTCTGGAAGAGGGAGCGTTGGAACTGCCGGCTAAATCAGTGCCTGCCTCTCTGCACCCCTCTTCCTCCAACAGAAAAGGCTGTTGTGGGCCTGTTCTCCTCTCATGCAATGAAGAGACTGCTGGCCAACGCCTCGCTGGTCTTGGAGCCTGCAACGCAGGCTGCCCTGCAGCAAGCCAATGAGGCCCGAGTGGGAGGGGGCATTCCAGTTCTGCTCTCTGCTGTCAGCACGGCCTTCCTGAGCAACAAAGACACTGGAAATCTCAGCTCCCCGGTCACCTTTGCCTTCTCCCACCCAGTGAGTGCCCCTGGGGCCTGGGGGAGTGGAGGGAACTGGCAAGTCCTGTCTGTGCTGCTGAAGGATTCTGGGAATTTTTAACCTGGAGAAAAGCAGACTCATGCCACATATCAATAGCTGTCTTCAGATTGAAGGAATTTGATTTAATCTGCTTGTCGCCAGAAGGCAATGGGGGAGTGGTTAGAGGCAGGCTTAGGTTTAAGGAGGGGAAAACTTCCTGACAATTAGAGTGGTCCAAAAGTGGAATGGTGTGCCCCTGGGGGGACAGATCAACCTCCCACCCATCACCAGAGGTCTTCAGGTAGAGGCTGATACACAGCCCTGTGCTGGTTAAGTCTCTAACTACCACTGCTGGGGCGTGTGGGGCTTAGCCTCAATTTCCCTGCTATGAAGAAGCTTTCTCAGCCCTTAACCAATTGCTGGTAGCCAGAATCCAGCTGCCGGCCAGAAAGTGCTACCTCTTCCCCAGGGTTCCATGGGACTTCTTTTCTTGTGCCTACAGAATGTGTCTTGTAAGCCAAACGAGGAAGTGATCTGTGCCTTCTGGCAACGAAACAACAATGGGAGCGGTCACTGGGCAACCACCGGCTGTACGAAAGTGGGCAGCAAAGGGACCAGTACCACCTGCAACTGTACCCACCTCAGCAGCTTTGCCATCCTCATGGCCCAATATGATGTGGAGGTGAGAAGGGCAGAGGGAGGGGGCTCCAGAGGAGTCAGTAGAAGGAGAGTAGGGATAGAATCAGGGGGGAAGGGACGGGGTCAGGGAGGGTCAAGAGAGATGAGAGGGGATCAGAGAAGGATAGGGATGTGTATGAGGGAGGGGGGAACGTCTATGGGAGTAGGGTCTATTCCACTGATCTTCTTGGGCTCCTCCGCTTGGCCCCAGGACTGGAAGCTGTCAGTGATCACTCAGGTGGGGCTGGGAGTGTCCCTAGTCTGCCTGCTCCTCTGCATCCTCACCTTCCTGCTGTGCCGGCCCATCCAAGGCTCCCGCACCACCATCCACCTGCACCTGTGCCTCTGTCTCTTCGTCGGTTCTGCTGTCTTCCTGGCTGGCACCGCCAACCCTGGCCAAGGACAGGTATGCATACCCTCTAGGGCTTCTGGGCACCCAGAGGGTCAGGGGGCAGCCGGGGCATGGAACAGGCAAAAGAGCTGGAAAGAAGAGCAGAGGCCCTGGGTTTGAGCCCGGGGTGTTGTCCCTTATTAGCTGTGTGCCGTTGGCCAAGTGCCTTCCCCTCCCCAGGTCTCAGTAAAGGCCCTCTGTAAAGTGGCCTCGGAGGAGGCAGGAGGTCCCGGCTGACCGTGCTATCTCTCCCTCGGGCGCAGGTGGGGCTGCGCTGCCGCCTAGTGGCCGGTCTGCTGCACTACTGCTTCCTGGCCGCCTTCTGCTGGATGTGCCTCGAGGGCCTGGAGCTCTACTTCCTCGTGGTGCGCGTGTTCCCGGGGCCTGGCCTCCGCACGCGCTGGCTCTGCCTGCTGGGCTACGGGACGCCCGCCCTCATCGTGGCCATCTCTGCAGCGGTCAACAGCCAGGGCTACGGCCGCCCGCGCTAGTGAGTGCGCGGCCCCCGTTGCCCTCCCCAGCCCTCTCCTCCCGGCCTGGGACGGGGTCCTCCCCTCCCCCTTCTTCTTTCCCCCTCCCCTTTCTTCTTTCCCCCTTCCTCTTCCTTCCCCCTCCCCTTTCTTCTTTCCCCTTCCCCTTTCTTCTTTCCCCCTCCTTTTTCTGCTTACCCCTCTCCTTTCTGCTTACCCGTCCCCTTTCTTCTTTCCCCCTTCCTCTTCTTTCCCCTTCCCCTTTCTTCTTTCCCCCTCC